TTTTTTTTTCAAAGTACCTAAATTTCTGGATTTTGGAGACAGGGTCTTGCTCCGTAGCCTAGGCTGGCCTCCAATTTATGATGCTCCTCCCTCAGCTACCCAGGTGTTGGGCTTATAGGCTAGACATGCATAAACTCAATACGGAGTTCTTGCACAGTATGTCATTCTCAAAACAGGACAACCAGCTTGCTGTTTCCTGTCCTCATTTCTGAAACTCGACCCACTGCAAAGAAGGGGCTTTCTGCAGCCCCGTTTTTGTCTGACCATGGCTCTCATAAGCAGGTGTGGGTCCACGGGGGACATAGGTGGTGGTCTGCTCTCATCTTTCTGGTCCTCAAATCCCTGGTAATTGTATTCTTCTGGAACATATAGAGCTGCCTGAAGAGCTGCCACTTTTGTTCAGGGGGTAACCGTCAGAGACAGAAGCATCATGAATGTGTCCATGTACCTGGAGCCCAAGGATGCTCAGGCAACTCCTGTCCTCCCAGAATCTGTGCAGTGTAAGGGTACGCTTCCTGTAGGGTCTCTGTCCTCATCCTCTCCCAGTGACTCTGGAGTATCCCCAGTGTCGGTCATCTTGGAAAGGGCATCCTGTTGACTAGTTGCTCCATAAAGGGTGACTGGACAGGGCTGTCCCCAGGGGAACCCTTGTGAGATAGTGGATGTGACAGACACTCTACTTGCCTTCCTTGACCTCCTTGAGAATCTCTGTGTCAAGGGTGTTAAGAACTGCAATTTCAAGTTGGCTGAACAGTGTGTCACGCCCAGCAGTAACTTCCAGGAGCTGGCACTATGGCGGGAAGAAAAGCAGAAGCACCTGTCAGGCTCTGCTGTGAAGCCAGAGGTGAAGGTCCCACTGGGAAGCTCACACACCACCTTTGGAGACAACCTTGGCCAGAGTTTCACCTTAGCTGGAGATGAATCATGTGGGACCCGTCTGCTGATGAGTGAAGATGAGTTTTCCCCACAGGAGCCTTTCCTTGTGCACATTGAGCTATGTCAGCAGCCCTTTTTTATTTTTTGAATAGGGTCCACTAAGTTGCCCAGCCTGGCCTCGATCTTGGAGTCCTCCCTGCTGCAGCGTTCTGGGTGCTGGACTTACAGGCCTATCTAAGGCTAGTGTCCTACTCACTGTTTCGTAAGTTATGGGTCATGGTTTCCACTGTAGAACCCCAGAAATCAGAGACCATCCCCATAGGTCTGCTGTGCCCTAAGCTCCCCCAGCTCTCCACAGGGCTGCTGAGGTCCCATCACCACCTTGTCAGCCTAAGCCCATCCATGTATTCTGTTTGCTTTGTTGAAGCCAAAAATTGTGTTCTTTCAGAGCTGCCTAGCTGATTTTACCATTTTCCTAAATGAAGCCCCCAAAAGAAAAGTGCCTTTCATCATTTAAAAAAAAATGTTAGTCTTCATTGGTCTCTAATGTGTAGGCCAATGAAAAGTGCTTAACATTTTTTGTAACTTCTTTGTTTTTAAACTGAACCTTGAAGGAACATTACGAAGTTATATGAATGTGGAACATTTACTTTTTTCATGTTGTCTTGTTTCTGTGAGGTTAGTCCTTAGATGTTTTTTTTTGAAGATAAATTTATGCATATCTTTTGTGTTAAAAAAAAGATTTGCTTTATATAGTTGGGTGCTCCCGTGTTTGGTGCATACATATTTATGAGTGTTACCTCTTCCTCTTGAATTTTTCCCCTAACCAGTATA